GTACCTGTAATCCCAGCTACTCGGGAGGCTGAGGCAAAAGCATCACATGAACCTGTGAGGCAGAGGTTGCAGTGAGCCGGAATCGCACCACTGCACTCTAGCCTGGGCTACAGAGCAAGGCTCCGTCTCAAAAAACAAAAAAAAAAAGGAGACTGCTACGTTAGGGGGGTCTCTGGGGCCTCTTTCAACATCCAGTGTTCTAGGAACTTCTGATTCTTCTCTCTGCTCTCCAGAGCTGGATCAGGGATGACTTGCTCTATAAGGCAGGTCATTCTGCTTAGGGAGAAGGGTCTTAAAGGAAGTAGGGAGTGAGGACCTCAAGAATTGGATCTGGGAGCAATCAGGATCACCAGCCTGTCACCCCTTTCCCATCGAGGCCAAGTGAGTCCAGTTCAACAAAGACATCTTGAGTCCCACTCTGTGTCCTTCATTATGTCAGATACAGGGTTCCAGTAGTGACTAACACATGTCCTCAGCTTATACTCCAGTGGAAGTTGCATTGTCAACCAGTGACAGTGGCATATAAGAGTGTGGTATATAAGCCCTCATTGGAGTTGTGGGCCAGGATGTGGGGAAATCAAAGCAGGCTGCATGAAGGAGGTGCTAATCGATTTGGATTCTGGTGGATGAGTAGGATTTCCGTGGATTGGGAGGATTCCCACAAGCAGGCTGGAAGAACTAAGGATTTGGAAACATAGTGGGCCAAGACCCACAGGTGTGAAAGCCTTGGAATGTCAGTGCATGTGTGTGTGTGTGTGTGTGTGTGAAGTGGTAAGTTGGTGGAAGATGAGGTGAACTGGGAGTGATGGGCAGCTGCACTGTGCTCTGCCTAGGGCCATGCTGAGAGCTCAACTTTATTCCAGGGCCTGTAGATGCTATAAGAAGGATATGAAGGAGGGATCTGCCCCTCCGCCCCCAACCCATCCAGAGTCAGGACCTGGTCAAGAATTGAGAGAACTTCAGGAGGGGGAATCCGCAAGACCCCATGACTTAGTGGCTGAAGGCAGAGCCAGGGCAGATGGAGAGACTTTGGGTTGTGAGAAGAGACAAGGAGAGGGACTGGGAACATGTGGGGGCACCTGGAGAGCTGGTGGAACCTATAGCCCTCTCCCCACTCCCTCCCTAGGTATTCAGCGACATCGGCGCCATCCAGAGCCTGAAACGCCTGGTTTCCTACTCTACCAATGGCACTAAGTCGGCGCTGGCCAAGCGCGCGCTGCGCCTGCTGGGCGAGGAGGTGCCACGGCCCATCCTGCCCTCCGTGCCCAGCTGGAAGGAGGCCGAGGTCCAGACATGGCTGCAGCAGATTGGCTTCTCCAAGTACTGCGAGAGCTTCCGGGTACAGTCGTGGGGGGTGCACCTCCCCCAAGTCAGAGCGGGCGCCCTGTGCACAGAGACTGTGTTCCCTCCCGGCCTCGCACTCCTGTGGCGCTGGGGTGGCTTCTAGGGATGGGGAGCCTGTACTCGGCTCTGACCTAGGTCCCATCTGCCTCCTCCACGCCATCTCCAGTTCCTTCCCTTGCATCTTGTGCTCGAGGTCCAAGGGCTAAGTAGCGCAGCCCTTCCTGACACCCGACTCCTCTCCCAGGAGCAGCAGGTGGATGGCGACCTGCTTCTGCGGCTCACGGAGGAGGAACTCCAGACCGACCTGGGCATGAAATCTGGCATCACCCGCAAGAGGTACGGAGCCTCCTGTCCGCCGGACCCCAGCTAGGTCTAAATAAGCGCCCCCTCGGTCCACAGCCCATCTGAGTCTGGACCTCAGCGTCTTCTCCTCCGTGGGGTGCAGGTTCTTTAGGGAGCTCACTGAGCTCAGGACCTTCGCCAACTATTCTACGTGCGACCGCAGCAACCTGGCTGACTGGCTGGGCAGCCTGGACCCGCGCTTCCGCCAGTACACCTACGGCCTGGTCAGCTGCGGCCTGGACCGCTCCCTGCTGCACCGCGTGTCTGAGCAGCAGCTGCTGGAGGATTGCGGCGTCCGCCTGGGCGTGCACCGCGCCCGCATCCTCACGGCGGCCAGAGGTCAGCCCGCCCACCCGGGACCCCGCCCCAGCCCCAGCCCCAGCCCCAGCCCCAGCCACGGCCCTAGAAGGGTGAGGGGAAACACAGGGTGGAGACTTCCAGCCTCACCGTGGATTGATTGAGCACAAACGTGGGTCACACCGGGCTCTGAGGATGTAAAGATGAATACGTTGCACTTTGCCTCAAGAAGTTCCCAATCTTAGGTGGGTAGGCGGTGGGAGGAAGGGAGGTATTAAACAGGCAGACAGCCCCTGCAGAAAGCTACCTAGGTCTCCAGTGGGAGCACAGAGGAAGCCCGGCCCACCCCATCCACCCAGGTCTAGATTTCAAAGAGGACAGGATGCCTCACCATGTCTTGAGAGAGGCACTGGCGGGGAGGGGTGGCAACAGGAAGGGCAGCCCAGGCAGAGGCAGCGGCTGATGAAGAATCCATGCAGTGGGGTATAGGTGGGAAGGGTGTGTGCGTATGTGTGTTATCCTATTGGCCAACAGCTTACAAAATTTGGGTCTAGAGGTGGTTTAGAGTGAATTCTAGGCCTCTAGCCACCCTCATTATTGGCTAATTTATTTTAAACTTACTAATTTACCACTTAGTTAATCTTTATTGTCAATTACAAGGTACTCTGTTAGATTTTTAAGATATTATCTTATCAGTCTCTACATTGATTCTATGCAGTGAGTGTTCAGTTTTTAAAATCAACCTTAAAGAACTCTTGAAAGAATAAAAAGAGGAATAAGTGTCCAGTTTGAGGGCCCGGCACTGTGGCTCATGCCTATAATTCTAGCACTTTGCGAGGCCAAGGCAGGCAGATCGCTCAAGTCCAGGAGTTTGAAACCAGCTTGGGCAACAAGGTAAAAGCCCGTCTCTATAAAAGCACAAAAAAATACAAAAAATTAACTGGGTGTTGTGGCGCATACATGTAGTCCCAGCTACTTGGGAGGCTGAGGTGGGAGGATCACCTGAGCCCAGGAAGTTAAGGCTGCAGTGAACTGTGATCAGGTCACTATACTCCAGCCAGCCTGGGCAGCAGGAGTGAGACCCTATCTCAAAAAAGAAAAAAAGTGTCAGTTTGAGGAGTTTTAAAAGACACCTGTGTGACCCCCCCCGACCCCCACCATCATCATTAAAGATATAGAATATTTCCATCATGGGTGTTCACTTTAAAGATAATGACAATAACATTTAAAGAATTCAAATACATTTCCCACAGTCATAAAAGTCATTAGATGGCAAAACTGGGACTTGAGCCTTGCCTTTCTGCTTCATAAACAAACAAATGTTGTCTAGGAGGGTTGTGTCTAAATATTATAAGAAGATAAATTCTTTTCATTTTATCCATTCATTCAGCAATTACAGACTAAGCACCCACAAGACACAAGGGACTGAGCTTTGACTGCATTCTTATGCTTCAACTAATGCAGGTTGGCTTTTATTATTTTTACATGGCAGCTCCCATTAAAACTTCAAGATTTCATTTTTATTTTAATTAATTAATTAATTAATTTGAGACAAGGTCTCATTCTGTCACCCAGGCTGGAGTGCAGTGGCGCAATCACAACCCACTGAAGCCTCAACCTCCTGGGCTCGAGCAATTCTCCCACCTCACCTGCCAAGTAGCTGGGACCACAGGCGCGCAACACCACACCCGGCTAATTTTTGTATTTTTTGTAGAGACAGGGTTCCACCATGTTGCCCAGGCTGTTCTCAAACTCCTGGTCTCAAGCAATCCTCCCAACTTAGCCTCCCAAAGTGTTGAGATTACGGGTGTGGGCCACCGCACCCAGCACAAGATTGCATTTTTAAACAACAGGAAAATCCTAGGGCAAAAATAGCTTAAAAAAAATAGTTCATATAGTGAGCCATGCATAGTTTTTAAGTGGGCGGAGTGACATGCTCAGATTTGGATTTTAGAAAGATCTTCTGGTAGCTGTGGCAAATGGACTACAATGGGCAATTCTTTTCTTTTCTTTTTTTAGACAGAGTCTCACTCTGTTGCCCAGGCTAAAGAGGAGTGACATGCTCAGATTTGGATTTTAGAAAGATCTTCTGGTAGCTGTGGCAAATGGACTACAATGGGCAATTCTTTTCTTTTCTTTTTTTAGACAGAGTCTCACTCTGTTGCCCAGGCTAAAGTGTGGTGGTGCGTTCTTGGCTCACTGCAACCTCTGCCTCCCAGGTTCAAGTGATTCTCGTGCCTCAGCCTCCCAAGTAGCTGGATTACAGACATGTGCCACCATGCCTGGCTAATTTTTTGTATCTTTTGTGAAGATGGGGTCTCACCATATTGGCCAGGCTGGTCTCGAGCTCCTGGCCTCGAGTGATCCACCCACCTTGGCACCCCAAAGTGCTGGGATTACAGGTGTGGGCCACTGCGCCTGGCCTAGACTGGAAAATTCTAGCTGGGTTTAGGGAGGCCATTGAGGAGGCTGGCACTGGAAACTTGAGCCAGGGAAGGGCCCGGAGGCTGGAGTCCTGGATGTTTAGTAGGTAGAATCCTCAGAATGTGGTGCCTGTGCTGAGCACGGAGCATTGCTCCAGAGGAGCAGAGTGCGGTCTGTTTTATTCACTGCCGAATCTCAAGCACTGAAGATAGTTCTGGCACACAGCGAGTGCTTAGGAAGTATTTGTTGAATAAATTAAATGGGAGGCAGGAGTTGAGGCTGATACCCAGGTGTCTGGCTTTGGTGGGAAATAGGGAAGAAGGAATGAGCGGGAGATTTGGAGTGTGTTGAATTTGGAGTGATTGTGGGCAGCTGGCTGTGCAGGTCTGGAGTTCCAGAGAGAGGGCAGGGCTGGAAGTGCATGCATATCAATGTCCCTAGAACGCAGTGCCTGCCTCCTAAGAGTAACCCAACAATAACATGACCTTCCTTCTGTAGGCCCCGTTTCTGCTTTTTGGGAGAGGCCACCCTTCCCAGGCTGGGCTGAGAGGGCTGGGTAGAGGGATGATATACCTGGCAGTGAGTGATGCGGAGGGGCCACCCTCACCATGCTGTCTGTTGCCCACTTTAGAAATGCTACACTCCCCGCTGCCCTGTACTGGTGGCAAACCCAGTGGGGACACCCCAGATGTCTTCATCAGCTACCGCCGGAACTCAGGTTCCCAGCTGGCCAGGTGAGGAGGGGCAGGCAGGCAGTGGCAGGGCCTTGAGACAAGGCTGTGGCACTGACACAGGACCTACTTGCAGCCTCCTGAAGGTGCACCTGCAGCTGCACGGCTTCAGTGTCTTCATTGATGTGGAGAAGCTGGAAGCAGGCAAGTTCGAAGACAAACTCATCCAGAGTGTCATGGGTGCCCGCAACTTTGTGCTGGTGCTGTCACCTGGAGCACTGGACAAGTGCATGCAGGACCATGACTGCAAGGATTGGGTGCATAAGGTAGGTGCCCACCTATGCCTCTAAGGTCCCAGCATTGGCCCATGGTCCAGAAGATAGGGTTGTCTTCTAGTCCTTCTTGTCTGCACATCCCAGCACACTTAGCCCTGCAGCACCTTCCTGACCCAGCTGGAAGTCAGGAACCACAGCTCTGACTATAATAGGACTTTAGCAAGCTACAAGGGACAAGAGACTAGGCTTTGGCTTTCTGAGCCTCAGTTTTCTTATCTGCAAAATGGGGTAACTTACCTGTTCCACTCACCCTGTAGAACTGTTGTGAGGATCAGAGAGAGATAAAAATGCTTTGAAAAATAACTTCCATGAGATACACGAGAGCATAGCGACAGGCAGAAGGGAATAGTTGAGAGCTCAAAACTGAGAGTTTGAATCCTGGCTCTGGCCTTGGGCAAGTTACTTAATCCCAATAAGCTTTGTATTTATTACTGGAAAGAGGGTATTGTAATAATAGTATCTAACTGTCTAGAACATTGTTATAAGGATTAAAAAAGCTAAAATTTGTGAAGTGCTTAGCAGAATGGCTGGCACATAGTAACTGCTCAATAGTGGTAGCTATTATTATTATTATTAATATAATTATTATAACTACTACCTCTGTTTAATTCATGATTGTATTTTCAGTGCCTGACACATTGTAGGAACTTACTGAATACTTCTAGAATGGATGGATGGATAGGTTCACTTTGCATTTTCAGGTTATTAATCATTAATCTGTCAGTAGGAATTGGAGTTGGGGCTGAGGGATGCAGTAGTCATCTGAGAGACAGGATGAGACAAGCAGTCAGCTCAGAGACAAGAATATGCCCACAGGGCCAGGCACAGTGGTTCACACCTGTAATCCCAGCACTTTGGGAGGCTGAGGCGGGAGGATCACTTGAGGTCCGGGGTTTGAGACCAGCCTGGGAAACACAGTGAAAACTTGTCTCTACTAAAAAAATACAAAAATCAGCCAGGCATGGTGGTGCACACCTGTAACCCCAGCTACTTGGGAAACTGAGGCAAGGGACTCACTTGGGCCCAGAAGGCGGAGGTGGCGCCACTGCACTGCAGCTTGGGCAACAGAGTGGGATGCTGTCTCAAAATGACTAGATCGCATACAAGTTGGTGTAAATGCTGAGCCAGGTAAGCAGACCTCTTGCTTGCCACAGGGGTTTGGAGAAGGGAGAGGGCAACAATATGTCAACGAAAAGAGTCAAACTCTGTAAAATATTTGAAGATATTTACTCTAAGCCAAATATGAGTGACCATGGCCCATGACGTAGCCCTCAGGAGACCTTTAAAACATGTGCCCAAGGTGATCAGGGCACAGTTTGGTTTTATACATTTTTGGGAGACACGAGACATTAATCAATACATTTAAGATGTACGTTGGTTTGGTTCAGAAAGGCAGGACAGCTCAAAGCGGGGGCTTCCAGGCTTTTGGTAAATTTAAAATTTTTCTGGTTGATAATTAGTTGAGTTTATCTGAAGACCTGGGATCAATAGAAAGGAAATGTTTAGGTTAAGATAAAGGGTTGTGGAGACCAAGTTTTATTTGTGCAGAGGAAGTTCTCAGGGCAGACTTCAGAGGGAGTAGGTTATAAAATGTTTCTTATCGGACTTAAAAGGGTGCCTGGCTCTTTGTGATTATCTCCTGAGTCTGAAAAGAAAAAGAAAAAATTGGGGGGAAGGGGATTCTCTACAGAATGTGGCTTTTTCCCACAAGAGACAAACTTGTGGCGCAATTTCAAGATATGGCAGGGAAATATATTTGGGGTTAAAATATTTTTATTTCCTCCCTTATTATATGATGTTATAGTAGAGTCAGGTTAGAAAGCAGACCACGCTATATAGGTTTAAAATTAAAACCCCTCCAATAAGACTTTATGGTTTGTAGGGCATGACTCCCTAGGCCCCTTAGGTAGGAATTTGGGCAAGATTAAAAAAAAAAAAAAAATCAGAGTTTAGTCCTCAGAGGACTGGAATAATCAGGGAGGACTTCATGGAGGAAACAGGTCTTGAGAAGAATCTTAAGAGTCTAGATAAGTGGAAGAGAAGGCATCCCAGGCCAGGGTAACAGCATGGAATAAAGGTAGGAAGGAGAACAAAGGAAATAGGAATAAAAGGAATAAAGGTAGGAAGGAGAACAGTGCTGAAAGCCCATATACGTCTTGGGTACTGCTTTCTCCATATCACAGACGAAGAAACCGAGGCTCAGAAAAGTAGAATAATTTTCCCCTGGATACACTGCTAGTGTAGAAATCAGAAAAGCTAGGCTTCAGATTCCATCTCTCTGACTCCAAAGCTCATAGCTTTCCCAAGATCCACACTGCATTCTATGGCACAGATCTGAGGGGGTGTGAGGGGAGGTGATGGGGTAGGGCTGGATTCAGTCGACACCAGAGATGATTATCTGTATCTCTTCACAACTCCACATCCAGTGATGTCATGTTGGTAACTTGACATCAGCCATGGTGGGAGTATTTACACCAAGGAAATTGGGAACCACTACAAATCAGAGTTTTGTTTGTTTGGTTGATTGGCTGGTGGGTTTTCTCCCCCCATGAATAGCTAGTTATTATAAAGTTACCAGCACACCATTGGCTGGATAAGAACTATGGAAACCAGGTTAAGGAGTGTTTAAAGGCAGGAGAAGACCTGTGTTTAAAGCACTGGAAAACAAGGAGCCCATGAAGAAGAAGATGCCAGGGCAGTGGGTTTTAGAATGAAGGCTCTGACACTGAAATGCAGTCCACGTGGAGTGTGGAGTCAAGCCCCAGAGGCCACATAGGAGGGGCTGAGTACTAGGCCTGGTTTGGGGAGGGGCACTGGGCCAGGTGAGCATCCAGTAAGAACATGGTTGATGACCCAGAGCAGGTGGCAGGCAGCGTTTTGAGAGAAAGAGAAGAGTGTCTGTGAGCTCCATGAGACTTCAGACCTTGCCTCGTTCATGTGTGTCCCTGGTGCTTCAAACCATGCATGGTACATAGGAGGCTCTATGCGATTGCACCAAAAAAAAAAAAAGAGAGAGAGAGAGAGAAAGAGAGAGAGGTTGTAGATGAGTTTATAGAACAATTGAATCAATGATTAAGCAGACAAGTGATACTGATGAAGCTGAGATGCCATGCCTGAGAGAGCCATACTTATCTAGTAGATTTACCAGGTTAGAGGACTTGACTCCATTTTTTTTCTTTTTTTTTTTTTTCCAGTAGAGATAGGGTTTCACTATGTCACCCAGGCTAGTCTCAAACTCCTGAGCTCAAGTCTGGAGTTCAGTGCTTGCCTCGGCCTCCCAAAGTTCTGGGATTAGAGGCATGAGCCACCATGCCCAGCCAAAGGATTTGACTCTAATTGTTTTCGTTCTCAACCAGCTAGGTGATCCTGAACAAACCATTATCCCTTTCTTTTATTTATTCATTTTTTTTGAGACAGACTCTCGCTCTGTCACCAGGCTAGAGTGCTGTGGCACGATCTCGGCTCACTGCAACCTCCACCTCCCGGGTTCAAGCAATTCCCCTGCCTCAGCCTCCTGAGTAGCTGGGACTACAGGCACACGCCACCATGTCCAGCTAATTTAGATATATGTGTATTTTAGTAGAGACGGGGTTTCACCATGTTGGCCAGGATGGTTCGATCTCCTGACCTTGTGATCTGCCTGCCTCGGCCTCCCCAAGTGCCGGGATTACAGGCATGAGCCACCGTACCTGGCTGCTATTATCCCTTTCTTGGCCAGCCTCTGAATCTGTGCAATAAACAGTTTGTACTGTCTTTGGTTTTGTATAATTCTGGATGAAACAAATGTCTAAAGATTTCCAAATAAATTGCTGCAGGGTCAGGATTCATTCCAGTGCTCAGCAGAGAGGCAGCAGGGCTTGGTTGAAACAGCCTGGACTTGGACTCTCGAGGCTTGAGTCAGAGGACTGGTCCCTTGTGGGCTGGGCGTACGTGTGGCTTAGGAGGAAATCCCTTCCTCTCTGGGCTTTTTTCTCTCCATCTGTAAAATGGAGAGGCTCCCCAGGAAGCCAGTCAAGGGCAAAGTTACATATGTTCTTTCCCCAGGAAGGCTCCACTTCCCAAGAATGCTTGGCACCCCTTGTCGTCCCAGCAGATGGCAAAGAGGCGGGAAGAGCCTTTGCCTTGGACCAGCCCCAGAGGCGCCGTCATCCCTCTTTGGTTGTTTCTGGTGCTTAATTGCCTCTGGTTTTAAAACTCCTTTCCCTGAAGTCACATTAGTGGGTAATCAATATGGAAAACCACAAGTGAACTGCACTCAAGAAAGTAAAATCCCTTTGGTTCTCTATTGAGAGGAAGAAAAACATTCAATAAGCACTTACGGAACCCCATTAATAGCAAATAATTCCTTAAAACAATGCTTTGGGGTAGGTTTTATTATCCCCACTTTATAGAAGAGGAAATAATAACACCTATTACGTATTAAGCATACACTGTATGCTAAGCGCTGTTCTAATTACTTGCCATGGAATGTTGCTCTTATTCCATGGAAAAATCTATCATTAACTCTGCTTTATGTATTAGAAAACAGAGGAACAGATGTGGCGGCCCATGCCTGTGATCCCAACACTTTGGGATGCTAAGGTGGGAGGATCACTTGAGGCCAGGAGTTTGAGACCAGCCTGGGCAACATGGTGAAACCCCATCTCTACTAAAAAATACAAAAAATTAGCCAGACATGGTAGCACATGCCTGTGGTCCCAGCTACTTGGGAGGCTGAGGTGGGAGGATGGCTTGAGCCCAGGAGGTTGAGGCTGCAGTGAGCCTTGATGGCGCCACTGCCCTCCAGCCTGGGTAACAAAGTGAGATCCTGTTCCCTGCCCTCCACCAAAAAAAAAAAAAAAAAAAAAAAAAGAAAACAGAAAGTTTAAGTACCTATTATTTTTGCCTGAGGTCATAGAGCCTGTGTCAGAGACTCAATGTGAACCCCGATTTGATGATTCCAGAGTGCAGCCCTAACTGCTGTGCTATGTTTTCTCATTCATTCATTCATCCATCCATTAAATATTTAGCAAGGGCTAACTGTAAGGGCTCTGTGAAAGATGCTAAGATATAAAGGTAGTGAAAAATAGATATGATCCCTCCTCATGTCTGGCAGAGAAGACAAATACTGAGTAATTTATCCATTAATTAATTAAAATTTACAACTATAATATGTTCTGCAGAGCCTATAATAGGAGAACTGATTTGGTCAGGGCAGTGGGAGACAACTGCCCTGTGTAAGAGTTGATTGAGCTCAGATCAGAAAAATGAATGGGCATTATCAAGAGGGAAGGACAAGGAAGCTTATTTTGTGTGACTGGGAGGACAGAGCAGGGGTAGAGTTTGAGAAGTGGACTGTGGCCAACCACATAGGGCCTCACAGGCCACATGAAGGAGTTTGGACTTTATTCTAAGACCATGCAAAGTCTTGAAGAGTTTTAAGTAGGGAGTGACAGGATCTGATTTGTCAGATGTGCATTTTGCAAATATTAGCTACATGAAAGGGCAATGTGGAGAGTGAATTAGAGAAGACAAGGGTGGATGAGGAAAGACCTGGTGGGGGCTTAAAGATAATAGGGATTGGAAGAGAGTGGTAGTGGGGTGGAGGCAGGGAAAAATGGTGGATTTGAGAAATAAGTAAGGAGTACAATTGGCAGGGCGCATGATGGATCAACCTGTATGCAGGATTGTGATGTTTTTCTTCTGACACCAAATTGTTTGGGGTTTTTCCCACACTAACCACTAATTCTCCAACTTTCCAACACCAGCTGGGTATCCCACAATTCAATTCAATTCTGAAATGTCAGTCACGAGGCCCAGGTCCCCAGGCTACCACATTTCTGTTTGATTTGGCTACAACTTCAGGGGTTCCCATGACACCCCGAGGTTCAACTTGCTAGAATGACTCAGAACTGAGGAAAGCGCTTTACTTACTATTAGTTGCTTATTATGTCAACCTTAAATAATGAGATTCAGAAAATAAGACTAAGTATAGAGTTTCTTTGAGTGCAAAGTTTGAGAATAGCCACCCAGGAAGCATTGACTCCAAAGGAATGGGGTGAGTACTCCAAATTGGAGAAGTTAAGGTTTCACTTCCACAGGCAAAGACAGAGGAATTTTAGCAGGATTCCAACATTTTCCATATAAGACCAGTGCATATGTTACAATGCTTTGATTGGTTATAGATTGCTACATTCCAAGGAAGATGACTTTATTACCCCCTGAGGAGGGGTGGTGATCTGAGTGGGGATCTAAGGGGTGGTGATCTGAGTGGGGAAGTAAAAAAAAAAAAATAGGTGGAAGTTGCAGCTGCATGCCTCATGACTCAGGCTGCATAGACCAATTCCTGTCAAGGCTCAGAATAATTTAAAGTTCCAAGGCTTTAGGTTTGATTTAACAAAGCTTGAATAATAATAATAAATAATATTATTAATCTCAAAATCCTGGGCTCAAGTGATCCTCCTGCCTCAGGCTCCCAAAGTGTTGGGATTACAGGCATGACCCACCATGCCCAGCTGAATTATTTAATTTCACACTTACAAAGGACACAGCTCAAGAATAGCCAAATGGAAGAGATACATAGGATCTCTGTGTGTGGAGGGTAGAGGTGTGGATGCCATGCCTTCTACCACCTTCCCAGCACCTACACCCATTTATCAACCTGGAGGCTCTTCAAAACCCCTTGTTTAGGGGTTTTTATGGAGGTTCCATTATGTAGGCATGATTGATTAAATCATTGGCCATTGGTGATTGAACTCAATCTCCAGCACCTCTGGAGGCTGGAAGGTGGGGCTGAAAGTTCCAATCCTCTAATCACGCCTTGGTCTCCCTGGTGACCAGCCACTTCCTGAAGCTATCTAGGCTACCCCCATAGCGCCCCCAGGCCCCCAGTGGGGAATCATCTCTTTAGCATACAAAGACACTCATCACTCAAGAGATTCCAAGGGTTTTAGGGGCTCTGTGCCAGGAACCCTGGGCAGAGACAAAATATTTATTTTTTATTATACTACAAGGGTTAAGGGAGACATCAAGGTGGACTTCAGGGCTGGTGTCCTGCCCTGGACCCAGCCTCGGGCTAGTGGCCCTCCCAGCACCTGCCCGGCTACAAGGGTCCCTAAATGGATACAGGAGTATCTTCCTCCTTTCCTTTCTTTCTCCAGGAGATTGTGACTGCTTTAAGCTGTGGCAAGAACATTGTGCCCGTCATTGATGGCTTCGAGTGGCCTGAGCCCCAGGTCCTGCCTGAGGACATGCAGGCTGTGCTTACTTTCAACGGCATTAAGTGAGCCCCGGGGCCCTGGGACCAGGGGGGTAGGGTACAGATCACCATGACAGGCAGTGTGTGGGCAAACAGCTGACTAGCAGCTCCCTCTGCCCAGCTGTCTGACCCACATGGCTCCTGTGCCCACAGGTGGTCCCACGAATACCAGGAGGCCACCATTGAGAAGATCATCCGCTTCCTACAGGGCCGCTCCTCCCGGGACTCATCTGCAGGCTCTGACACCAGTTTGGAGGGTGCTGCACCCATGGGTCCGACCTAACCAGTCGCCAGTTCCCAGCCCTGCTGTGACTTCCACTTCCATCGTCCTTTCTGGAGGAACAGCTCCTCAAACTGGCCTCCCTGGGCTGAGACAACCTGGGCTCTTCTTAGCAAATGGCTCTCCCTCTCCCTGTCCCCCACCCTCATGGCCCACCTCCAACCCACTTTCCTCAGTATCTGGAGAGGGAAGGGAAGTCAGACTTGGGCTCGGGAGGTTAGAATTCCCCCATGCCCTGCCATTGGGTTGTCTGTCTCTGTCATGGGGAGGGTCCCTGCTCAGTTCTGGAGACACTGGAGTTGGGGTGGGGGTGGTTCTGCATTCCCTTCTGCTCTGATAGCAGCCAGTTTGAGGATGAAGGAAGGCAGCCTCAGACAGGAATTAAGGCAATGCCCAGGCAGGCCTGGGCACTGTATTCTGAGCAAAGGCCTGGGCCCAAGAGCCAGCCAGGGATGAGTGCCATCATGGCTCTCCACTCAGACTGTGCCTGGCCCCTGCACTTACAACTTCCTGCCGCTCTGTGGCCTTGCCCTGTAATCACTCAGTGCCCTTAGCCAGCCTGACTAGGTCTCAGATCCCCTACAGCTTCCTTCAGTGTGGTATCTTTTGCCACATCCAGGGCGAGGGTTGAGGTAAATCGGCCCTCCCTCTGACTTCCTTGTCGCTGCAGCCAGCTTTGCTGCACTTGCTGGTGCACAGGAGCCTCCTGTTTGGGCCTGGGTCTAGGCATGGGGAAGCCGTGCCTCAAAGCCCACCCTACCCCATGCCTTGGTGCTGTGCCTCAGGCTCCTTCCTGGTCTGGCCCAGCTGGCTACCCCAGCCCCTCAGCTATCCAGGGCTACCCACCGCTTGCTCAGGGACCAGGCAGCCCCCATGGCAGTAAAAGCAGCCTGGACAGAACCTGCAGCTCTGTGGAAAGAGGCAAAGTCCTGAAAAGGCAAAAGGTTGTCACCTATGGCAGCTTCTCCAACTTTAACATGCATCCAAGTCACCTGGGAATGTTGTTAAAATCAGGAGATCTGGGGTGGGGCCTGAGACTCTGCATTTCTTACAGATTCCCAGGTGAGCGGATGCTGGTGGTTAAGGGTAGCAAACCTCTAAAGCATGAAGCCGTCATGAATCTTTGCCATTTCCCACACACTCCGCTCCTTGGTCTCCAGTCGTCAGAGCAACTCTACCTGGTATTGTCATCCCCATTTTACAGATAATGACCCTGAGGCTCAGAAAGGTTGAAGATAAGCCCAGTTTCATGTCATCAGTGGCAGCCCCAGATCCAGACCTAGACCTCCTGGCACCCAGTCCACTGGCAGTGGAATTGCTCTCCTGAGAATCATTCTGAGGCTGGGCTATTGCTTCTCCCTTGCTTCAAAGAGTCTAGCAGCGGGGGATAGGATTTTGCAAAAAAAAAAAAAGCTGACCCAGAGGCCATACTGAAATAACTGAGCAGGAATGTCCCATTGCCCCCTCCTCCACTGGGTTCAGAGGGCAAGAAAGTACCCTCCAATAAACCCAGGCTGCAGGCCACGGGGACTGCTGAAGGCTCTTCCCCAATGAGGGCCGGGTGTTGACACCTTAAGGCTGGCTGCGCCCCCAGCCCCACTCTTGGCTGTGCTGGCCAGGCGACTCCTAGCTCTCGGCCACATCGTCAGAAAGTCAAAGTTCTCATTCCAGGTTTGGGGCTCCTTCCTTCCACTCCCCTCCCTGCCAGAGTCTGTCTTGGCCAGTCCCAGCCTCGATGCTTTGCTTTTGACCCCACCTGATCTTCCTTTCCTCGTGCAGCGCAAGTGCTCACTGGGGCCAGGGTGAGGGCATGGACATGGCAAGCAGGGCAGCCTGGACACTGGCCTCACAGGACAGAGTCAACAACAATACAGTGTCTGAGTGTCTCCAGGGGATGATTTCTGGCTTCTTGTCTCCAATCGGTCCCACTCCCTCCTGAGGTCCCCATGGGCAGTCTTCAGAGAGGTGTCCTGCGTTTTCTTTCTGTTTGGTATACCCTCCACTGCTGTCCACAGCCCTGTGTGGCCTTCTGGTTGACCTCTGCCCGATCTTCTGTCTCTCTGGGGGAATCAGAGTCCAGCATCCAGCCCCAGACGGAACAGCTGAAGTCACAAGCCTCCCCTAAGCCAAGGCCAGTGTGCTCAGAGGTGACTGCCACCCGCACTAGGACAAACACAGCTCAGATCACCAGGTCAAGCACCTAGGCCTGGCTTCTCCTGAGATAGAGGACTCAGAAGTGGCCTTTCCTCCAAAGCCTGCTCAGACACAGGTCTGCAGGGCCAGGGTGTTGTGCTTGGCTGGGCTGCAGCTGCTACCCCTCGGTTGGGGCTGAGTCAGCCAGATCCTCCCCCCACTTCTCCCCAAGGGCCAAGAACTGCTCAGGGACATTAAAGGTCAAAAGTCCAGCCACACCCATTCATCCTTTCCCCAGGCCCATGAAGAGAGGCATCTTATTGTAGAATGTATGAGGAGGTGGGAAAGATCTCAGAGCATCAGCTAAGTTTCCTAACTTGTCCATCCAAATGTGATTACCACGATTCAACAATTCGGGGCATCGCTGATCTAGCCCTTCCTAGTGGGGCTTGTTTAAGGTTGCACAGCGAGTCAGTAGAAGCCCTGGCTGGCCCCACTTGGTATCAGTCCACCAAGCAGCTCAGGGCTCCTGCCCAGCCCAGCAGCTTCTGTTGTCTGACATATGGCAGGCAGATTGGCAGCAGGAAAACAGAGGGCCCCAAAGCCCAAGGCACCAGAAGGTTTGTTTCAGTTTGCTGAGGCTGATTTATAATGATTGGCACTCTTCAGCCCAGGGAGTGGGTAGGCCATAGCCAAGGATCAATTCCCCAACCACAGTGAAGGCAGCGCTCCTCCTCCGGAGATCACCAAGCCCCTCTAACCTCCCTCCCTCCTTCCCAAGGCTGGCACTAACCAGGTACCACATTCATTGTTAAGGAGTGGCTGGTGACTGCTACACGTGTCAGGAACCTGCCTGGGACTGTGCAGTTTGGGCTGGAAGGAGAGATGCCAGCCCTTGTGCTGCCTCTGGTCCCTGAAGTGTCACCTCCATCAGGACCTCTCCTCTGGTCTGGGGAGTTATAAGTGATGGATGGCAGAAAGGAAGAACTGACTCCTGTCCCGAATAGCTCCCCTGCCACCTGTCCTGCAGTGGGCCTGTGTGGGTTATGATTCTAGATCCTAGTCAGAGGCTGGCTCAGCTATGGATGGGGTGGTGCCTTGGTCTGTCTTGACCACCTCGTCCAAAGAGAGCACTGCCCTTAGAAAGGAGCTGCTGGTGCTGCTGTGGGCTGGGCTCCAGCTGTAGACCTTCAGTTGTTTGGTGTTCACTTTGCTCCTCTTGCCCTCTGTCTTCTGGTCCAGGCAGATCAGGGGCTCTGGGGAAACTGCTGGAACTCAGGGTGAGGAACAACCTTTTCCAGCATCCTGTGAGAGACCAGAGAGAGGGTTTGGATTTCACATGGGGTACCCTCAAGGCCTGTCTGGAGAAGTGATGCAGGATTTACTTGGGTGGGCTGGTCCAGGTAGCTCTCCTGAACCTCCTCCTTCCCCAAGCTGAGAAGCTAAGAGCTGGAGGACAATGTCCAGGGACACGGCTCTGGAAAATAACTTTTCTTTTTTTTTTTAAGAGACAGGGTCTTGCTCTGTTGTCCAGGCTAGAGGGCAGTGACACAATCATAGCTGACTATACCCTTGAACTCCTGGGCTCAAGTGATCCTCCTGCCTCAGCCTCCTTAGTAGCTGGGACTACCGGTGCATACCACCATGCCTGGCTGATTTTTAAAATTTTTTATACAGACAAGGTCTTGCTATGTTGTCCAGGCTGATCTTGAATTCTTGGACTCAAGTGGTCCTCCTGCCTCAGCCTGCCACAGGATCGGGATTACAGGCAGGAGCCCCCATGCCCAGCCATGAAATATAATTCTTAATATCATACAGGAAAAAGTTCAACTAGCTGACAAAGTTCTCTGGCCTTCCCTTTAACACAGTTCTGTTGCCATAGTTCCATCTATAAAATGGGAATGGAGGAAAATAGGGGAACTGGGAGAGAGAACACAGCCTTGCCAAGTAGCAATGTTAGCCTGATCCTTCCTCCACCTAGCTTGCCACCTTGCCCTTGGAAAATGGCTCCTGGAGGATTAGGCAGCCATGTGCAAGGAGAGGGGCAACCTGGGACAAGACACCCAGAGGGGGAGGATTCCAGGAATGAAGCTACCATTTCTGGTTGGGAGGAGGGCACTTTTATGAGAAAGGGCTCCATTATGAGCATGGGTCAGGGACCTGCATTACCCAATCAGAACGGCCGGGATGAGCAGGAGGCCAGCTCCCAGGAGGAAGGGGAACCCCTTCATAAAGTTCAGAGTGGCTGGGTAGAGTGAGTTGAAGATGCCGGAGGCCGTCAGCATGGCCAGGTTATTCACACAGGCCACAGCAGAAAAGAGAGCACCTGTGAAGAAATAAATACCATACTCCGGAGTCCGAAAGGGCCATGTTCAAATTCTGGCACCACCACCTCAGAGCTGTGTGACCGGAACCAGTCACTTAACCTGTGTCTCCCCTTCCTCACCAGTAAATCCTGCTACATCATGTACTGTGACGAGGATTCAATAAGGTTGTATGTGGACAGCAGCTGGCACAGAGGGGCTACTAAATAAATGGCTGCTGTTAAATCCACACTAAAAGTACATGTGATCTGACAGAACCCAGCACATGAAAAAAAAAAAGTACATGTGATATTGTCTGATGAAAGCCTGATGGAAATGGCTTTTTTCTGGTTTATCCTCTTTGGAATCATCTGTTTGGGATTAACTGCAGGTCTGATCAGTTCCAATATTCATAGCTGTGTCACCACTGAATAGCTTTTTATCCTTTGGGTTCCTGTTCCTCCTTCTGCTAAATAAGGATAATACCTATCTCCTAGATTGTCAGCAACATTAAGTTCACATGGAAATCACCCATCACTGGGCCTGGCCCCCTGGAAGTAGCTAGTTAGTAAGGGCTGTTCTTTTCTCGTGTTTCCCTGACATCTCTGGGCACAAAGAAAGTGCTGGGAAAAAAAGTTTAGGTGAATGAATGAAGGCACATGGATTCTGGGGACACCAGAACCCACAGTGGGCTCTGTATGGCACCAGGGTCTCTGTCATCATCAGATCCTCATTCCAGGACAGATGGAGAAAGATGAATGTTTCCCGACTGGGGCATGAAGACCCAGAGGCTGGAGAAGCTGTTCTGTGTAGATACACCAGGAGAACCCACAGTTTACAAAATGTGCAACAACCCAACAGAGGTTGAGATTAAATTCTGTCACATCTAGAGGGGCCTGTGATGTTATCAAGAGCAAACCACTCACATCACAGATGAAGAAACAGGCCTATGGCAGGGCTCGGACTAAAACTCAGATCCTGAGACCAGCTGCTTTGAAACACAGACGTGAGTTTGCATCCTAGCTCCACCATTTACTGAGTAACCTTGGGTGAGCCGATTTAACCCCCTGGGCCTCTGTTTCTTCATCTGTCAACTGTGGAAAATGAAACCCATGTCGCAAGGTTGTTCACTTCTGGGCTTGTACATGCTGACCCCAGAGAAACAGGGAACTCTGGCATCATCACACCCATCTTACAGACGGAAAAGCTGAGGTCTGCAGACAGTAAATCCTCTGCTCTGGTTATCCAGAAAGAACATCATTGTGCTCTGCTGACTGCAAATCCCAACTCTGAGGTTTGAAAATCCAAGGCGGCATGATCCTCTGCCCGTCGTGGGCAATTTCACAGAAGTGTGTTTGTCTTGGCCACTTACTTCTCCAGGGTGAGAGGCGGGAAGGCAAGCTGTTCCCCCAGCCATGGCTGCCCATCAGCCCGTTTCGGGCAGCACTGGGCATGAGGAACCAGATACAGGTGGGTCCTGACACTCACCCTGCTCTGTCTCTCTCACCAGCTTGGAGAGTTTAGCCCGGATGACAGGTGTGATGACTAATGACAGGAAGAGCAACCCATATCCTGTGGAGAAATAAACACTCATCAGGAAAATAGGGCTGGGGAGAGGGGTGTCCAAGGGAAAGGCAGCAGATCTCCTATCCATACTCTATATGGGGCTTAGGTTAGACCCAGGAAGAACTTCCTTGATGGTGAGGGTGGGGAGACAGTAGTCAAGGAGGAAGGGAGACTGCCCTTGTCTGGGCTTGGCCACCGTCTAGCTCTCATGAATGCTAATTCCCACTGATTGCTTTCTTGTCTGAACCTCTTGTGGTCACAGCAGACATCACCCATTCATTTGGCACTTAGTAGGGATATGGCAGGGCACAGAAAACAAACATGAACTTTGGAGTCAGCCCTGAATTCAAAACCTGATGCCATTACATACTATCTGTGTGGCCTGGGGTACTTAACCTCTCTGAGCCTGACTCCGTGTATGAGGAAGATAATAAGGCCTTCATCACAGGATGGTTCTGAGTCATAGGAGGCTGAATAATGGTGCCCAATGGCATCAGGTTCATAGCCCTGGAACCTGTAAATACTACCTTATTTGGAAAATGGGTCTATGCAGGTGTGATGAAGTTAAGCCTCCTGAGAGAGTGGGGTTATCCTGGATTAGCAGGTTGGGCCCTAAATGCCATCACACATCTTTATAAGAGGAAAGCAGACGGAGATTTGGCACCAACAGAATGGAGAAGGCACAAAGAGGAGGAGAGGCAATGTGAGCACAGAGGCAGAGACTGGTGATGGCCACCCCAAGCCAAGGAATGCCAGCAGCCCCAGAAGCTGAAAGAAAAGAGAAACACGTTCTCTCCTGGCGCCTTGCAAGGGAGCACTGCCTGCTGACTCCTTCCGTTCAGCCCAGTGGTACTGACTTTGGACTTCTGGCCTCCAGAACTGTGAGAA